CATTCTGGATTTCTCTGTTGAAGCTCGTCTTCGTCGCTTTCATTAGAGCATGGAAAATGCTGAATTGATGTGTGCTTTACGAAGCTTGATAAAGCGGGTAGGACTAACCCTTCTGCTCTCGAAAGGCATGCCATTTTTGAAAATTTTGTCCCCACCTTATTTTTTCTCGAATTAACTAATCTGACAATGAGAGTGCTTACGTGAACAGTTTATATACAGTACTCCAACAAACCCTCGTGCTCGAATAAATTAGTAACTTTGGTGATTTGTCTTGTAAGGTCCTTCTTGAGCATAGAATTTGGATGTTCACTTAGTTTCCCTCCATAAAGAAGTACTTGGCCCAACTTGGCACAGTCACTCCGCTAGTTCTTGATTACCTGACTTCCTGGGTTTCTTGGAATAGGGTTAATTGTTCTTTGGAATTTTAAATATCCTTTAGACTTCCACAGGGAAATGTACCTTATGCTCACGGAGCCATGTCAAAGCTTGCACGCCCTCCTGTGTAATGTTTTCCCAAGGTCGCGAACGGCAGCGAGACGTTCGCCAAGTTTTTTTTTTCGATTATGGACGACTGCTCCCGTTCGGAATCGATATGAAAATCAGGCACAGGCGGCACGCAGTGCAGTTACAGAACTCATCATTTGTCATACCTCGTTTTCCCCGTAGATGACCCTTCTGTTATTATATGTATCTTATCGCTATCATTGAATTGTCGCTGATGAAATGCTTGTGCAGTCTATTTCATTTTACGAATTCTAGGCCTAACGTGATGTCCCCTCTCCGAGTACTCGTCACCGGTGCTGCCGGCCAAATCGGCTACTCTCTTGTGCTCCAAATCGCCAAGGGAGATGTCTTCGGAAAGGTAAGAGTTTTTCGGCGCAGGTCCAACTGTTCTGCTGAATAATTTTACTTGATGTGATGTTTAGGACACCCCAATTGTTCTTGTCATGCTCGACATTCCTCCTATGGCTACTGTATTGGAAGGAGTACAGTTTGAACTGCAGGACTGTGCCCTGCCAAACTTGCACGGTATGTCTTCATATTGCTTCTTTTTTAGTAATAAGAAATGGGCTAGGACTTTATACATCGCTTCAAATATGGCACATTTTGTGGATCAAGGTATACACAGTCGATTAAGAATTTCAAAAATCAAACAAATGTAGTAAGAAACATGTTAGTGCCACATGGCAAACAGCTGGGTCACCCAAAAAAGATGTTTTTATCTTCATTCTGACAATTTGTATCTGCGAAACTCTGAACGCGGACGTGCCGCATCGGTGGCAATGGCGGGCTGTTACGACATG